CTCAAGTGGTGGCGGATAAAAGACACTTGCGAAAAGATTTCTCAATTCCTTTGGACGAAGCGAACCGTGGGAAAATCACACCCACGGCAAATGAAGTTCGCGCATATTTTTGTTGTAGTTATTGTTGCATAAGAATCCGCAGTGCGTGCACATATGATTGAACGGGCGAGCAAATGTGCATGAACGAACATGCATATGTACGTAAAGATTGCCACGCCAAAAAGACTGTTGATGATAATGTCAAAAGCAATCAAAGAAACGAGCAGGCGGCGCGGATCGCTCGCGGGCGGAACGGAATGGAGTGGACAGTTAAGCGCGGATTTGAATGTACACCTGAGTGAGATAAGAGAATTCCGAATTGTGGAGTGAAATTTAAAGTTACGCTACGACAGGCAGTAGGATGTGCCCCGGATAAGTAGGGAAAGGTAAACATGGCCATGACATTAACCGCGAGCGGTGGAAGTGGCAGCGTGCCCGCGTGGCAGCAACAGCAGCAACGCAAAAATGGCCATAATCACATTGTATGACGTAATAGAGAAAATATGTATGTACCTAAATACATATGCACAATTTCATAGACGCGAAAGGAGTGAGAAATGACTTGCTCGCCGGCACACAGTGGGACGAAATGTTTCATTTTGTACAAGCGTCCGTTAACTACTCAAATCTTAATCGACTTGAAGTTTTTTTTTTAAATACTCTAAAATATTTTTTTCACTATAACATGTAACTGCGATAAATTTTAAATTGATAACATCACCAAGAAAACTCAATCTAATTTGGCAGAAGGTTTGACTCTAGACCTTAGCGTCGTAGCATTCAATGTTGCCACATGCAGGGAAAATTTCCTAATGTTAGGGATTTTCGGCTCTAAAAATGCGTGCGTAGGGAAAAAGGACAGATTTTCTATAAATTTTAAAAATGTAGGGAATTTTTGATATGTGAATAACATTGTTTTGCAACATATGTACGTATCTATGTATATTGAACAAAAAAAAAATTCCACAAGCCTGCGCATGTCCCACCGTGATATCGACAAGTGTAGAACTGGAGTAAATTATGGATCCAATTTTTGATGTTTAAAGCTCTAAAAGTTATTCACGTCGCTGCAATGGATACGCAAAAATAAGTTACCGTTATTTTTATTTATTATTTTTTTTTTTTGAGTGTAGGAAGTGTTGCCGTTGAGAATTTTCAAAAAGTCTCAAAAAAGGGGTCATTGACGAAATAAAGGGTCACCATATAATTTTTGCTTTTCTTTACTAGGAAAATAATAAATCCGTTGAATTTAAAAGAAAATAGCGGGACAAGCTTTGCACAGAACAGGGTTGAAGCATACACATAAATCTAGCTGCTGCATTTTTTCGTACTTCCAGGAGGGTAAATTTTTTAAAAGCATGGTTCTATTAACATTTCTAAAAAAAAATCTCTGAAAAGGGGAAAAGTCACACATAATTTAAAAAAAGTCTCAAAAAATCAAAATTTTAAAAAAGTCGGCTCAAAGGGTATTGGCGCTTAAAAAGGGTCAAATTGCCCTTTTAATCCCACAACGGCAACACTGAGTGTAGCGAACAGTAAAGATTTTTGGTAGGTGATGGTAGGGAATTTCGAATAAAAAAACATGTGACATCACTGATTGCATTAAGATTTGCAAATTTGTTAAAGAATTTATGTATCCTTCTGTGAAATAGGCTTTTGTGATTGGGAATCAATAATTGAGCGCCACTTCGAGACTAGCTTACTTGTACAATTTGCAAAACCAATTTACGTGACGCTCAAGTCTTCAGCCAATTCTTTTATCAAAACGGCTTGAGTTTTCTAGGTTAGGTGAGAAAAATTCAAATTTATTGCGGTCACGTGTTATAGTGAAAATGCTTCTGAGTATTAAAAAAAATAAAAAATTGATCGATTAAGATTTGAGTAGTCAGCGGACTTGGGTCCAAAGCGATACTTTCTTCCCACTGTGCGGCATGCCAGCCAAACTTACCGGCTGAACCGCAAGCAGGAGACCAGCCCAACCAACCGCTGCTGCTTGAATCTGCGGTTCAGTTCCTCGATGGTTGGCGACTGCCAGCTGGTGGCTCAGCACAGCGTGTGAATAATTTTTCATTGACGACTGCGTGGCAAATATATGTACATACATACTACACATACATCCATACATATTGGCAAATGTACATATTCGACATTTATAGGAATACTCAAAAATAATCATATACTACGTTTATACGCACAGAATAATCGACTTAATTGAAAGCGCATTGACACCGTACACATTTCGCTCTAGTGTTTATACTTACGGCTTTATATCGGCATCAAAGTAACCGTCTTCAAAAGCAAACAAAAGTAGCTGTTTTCATTTGACATTTTATAAGTTAACATAGTGGAAAGTGATAAAAATCTAGTTTTATTCGGCATTATAAAATCGTGGCAAAGAAAAAGAACGATTATTATTAATCAGCTTTTAAATACTGATCCGATTATTTGGAATTTGAGCGGAACAGCTGATCTCCAATTCGCTTTGAGTGAGAGCGGTGTTTATACACTCTTTCTAACTGTCTGGAGAAATAAACTACCGATTTGAAATGGAGTGTCAGCCAAAACACTTCGCTCTTTCAAAGCGAATTGAAATTAAGTTTATACATATGTTTTGAATCGCGGCGAAATGAATTAAAGCGACTTATGCATGCGTATAAACGTAGTAATAGACTTAGTGCGTGTGCGCATAGACTTCGAAAAAAATAAATAAAAATAAAACAATTATTTGGGAATAAAATTCTCGTTGTGTGCGTATAATAAAAAGCAGCCAAGTAGCAGTAGCCCACTTTGCTCGACGATAGTAACGATAGTACAATCACAAATACAGATACTCAAACATTTTGTAACAATACTTATTTACCTTTGCCAATGCAGCGCAAATGAGGCAAATGAAATTATCAGCTACTCAGTCAGCCGATTGGGTAATAAAATTTCATGAATAATAATACTCTCGATTATTTCGCATAAACATACATACATACGTACATAAATAAAAGGTAAATTTCGTGTGCCTTATTTACTTTGGATATAAAATATTTAAGGCACTGAAAAAAATTATTGACAAAATTTGTTTTTTTACAACACTAAAACAAACGATGTACATATCTTCTGTCACTAAACAAGCAATCAGCTCACACACCTGAGGGCACCCACCTCACGTTAACATACAAGTATATAATTTTATCAACTTAGGAACCAACGCCAACACCAATAGCAACGATGTGTTTTATTCAGGTGGTAACAAAAAAGTAAAAATTTGTCAACCTGTGTTATCGGTGTTGGCACTAATCGATTGATTTTTTAATAAATTAGTTAATTCGATTAAATTCAATCCGATTACAGTTAATCATGATTTATTTAAATCTGATTAAACAGTTAATCGTAATCGCGAATAAAAAAATTAATTTTTAACCCTTAACGATTAGCGATTAAAAAATTTAATCATTAATCGTACAGGTGAATACATTAATTAATTTTAATCGCGATTAACATTTTAATCGTTAATCAGATTAACATTTTGCCAACACTGCCCACAAAACACCCCTTCACATTATGAAGTATTCGAGTATATCACATGCTGGACCAGTTAAACTGCCAAAACCCAAATGCCGATGAGCTGTAGTTAAAGATGCTCGATGTAGAAAGGTTTTCAGATTGCTTGACTATTGGGAAATATTTGAGGATTAGCTGATTTTATAGGCTACGCGAATGACATAGCTTTCTTCTTTAAAAACCCGTGCAAATAACTTTCGATATTGAGGTCCGCTGAAAAAATCCATGCACCTACTCGATGGTTCATTTTTATAAACATAGAACGTTAGACCGACAGATGGATGTATATCGAAACATATATTTTTTCACCGTGTATTATCGATTTAATTTGTGCGTGTAACCTCACCGACCTGTTTGATTAACCCTTGACTGCGCCAATTACTCACATTTCAGCAAAAGAAGTTTTATCGTAAAGAATCAATGAAAAATATCAAAAAAATTACAAAACTTCTCTCGGCACTTGCATTTAACTTCTTGTTTGCATATGGACAGAGGTTTTTACAAATTGACAATATGCGAAAATATCCATCGTATTCGGGTATGTATATAAAGGCACACACATTTTCCGAACATGTGCTTCGCCAGGCACATAAATTCCGATCCTCGGAGGATACTGATTGTTCGATTATTGATTTCATTTACTTGGCAGCAATTTGTATTTTACAAATTATGCGACGTTGCTGCAATACTTACTTATCGAGTATGTAGATGCGTAAAGGCGCATTGACAGCGGAATGCCTAATGCAACGAGTGAGCTTGTAGCGCGCGCTTCACCCAACCGCCTAACTCCAGTCAAATAGCAGAAGGCACAAAATCAACAACGATCGGTCGCAATAGGTTGATGCATACGAAAATCCGTACTCACCGCAGCGATATCTGCCACAGCGGCAGAGCGGCAGAGCAGCCGAGCAGTAGAGCAGCATGTTGCAGTTGCAGTTGCAGATACATCGATTACATCTTAACTTTATTGCCACTCGCCGCTGAGCTGATAGATAAATGCACTTCAGTTTACTTATTAGAATCTTAACGTCAGCCGACATTGTGCGGCTCAAGTAGCGTGCAATGTTTATGGATTAAGCTG